CGGCGCGGCGCGGGGCTCGCGGCCACGGTCACCAGCCGCAAGGGGCCTCTCGGCGACACAATCGCCGTCGGCCTCGGGACGGACAGGCAGGAAGCGCATCACAGTGCTCCGGTCACCTCACGGCCCAAACCACAGTCCAGGCGCGTCTCGAGCTTGCCACCCCGAAGCCGCGCCCTTAGGAAAGTTACCTCAAGCAGGTGGCCAGTCAGCGGTCTCCAGAGAATCTCTATTCGATGCATGTTAACCAGACCGGTTTCGAGCAACTTGGCGACAGCAAAAAGAGAGGGTTCCTGGGGGGAAGCACACTAGGTTTCGGCACTCCGGGGGCCGTCAGCGCACCTGGCGACGCTAAGAGCAGCCCGCACGCCGGGGCTTAATGCAGGAGCAGGCGGCCAAGGCCGGCCGGCCGGGAGGCTCAGGCAGCGGCCACTCGCGCTGCGCGGGAAGGAGCCACTGGGAGACTCAAAGTCAGGTCAGAGCAGACGAAGGAGGGCCGGCTGCTGACCGGAGGGAGCGGCGCGCGCTCAGACGAGCGGCCGGCGGTGCCCGGCCACGCGCTCCGTGAGGAGTCCAGGCTGTAACCAGCAGGCCGAACCCGCACCTGTGGGCTGGACGCCACCGCCTGGGGGCGCGCCCACAGCGGCCAGAGGGCGCTCTGCAGCCCGGAGACGCGCCACGCGAGGACACCCTCGGCCCAGACGCCCGGCCCAGCAAGCTGCGCCGGTGCCGGGCGGGGAACACGCCCTTCCCCAGGGAGCCCCAGTGGCGCCGGGAAACGCCACCGCTGGCCCGCGCGCACGACAGGCGGCCCCGACGTGGCTACGGGGTGGGGGTGGGGGTGGGGGCGGGGCGCACACAGCGGCCGCGCTCTGCCCGTTACCACAGGCGGCCCACGCGGGGCGACGTCCCCTCTTCACGGCCCCCTATGAAAGGACGCTGCAACTGGCCCGGCGCGAGGGCTTTGGGCCACCAAGCTCGCGCGGGAGCGCCTGGCAGTCAGCACACACGCGTGGGCGCCTGCGCAGGCCGCTGGCTCCCCAGCTCGGAGGTGTGCACCAGGGCCCTCAGCATCGCCTTCTGAGGAAGGCTTGCGAGCTCCTCACCACCTCCGCCAGACCCCTGGAGGATGACCGGTCGTGTAAAGCCACGCCTGAAGGACACTGACCGTCTCTGTCCGGAGCACTGCTCAAGTCGTTCAGTAATGTTGAGACAGTGTCTACTTCTTTTAACATCTGTATAGTTGTAATGATTTTATAGCACACACAGCAGAGTAACAAACTGCCCTAATTATACCTCAGATTAATCTTTCGTCCTATCAGCCAAGATGATAAGCCACAGAACATGGAATTATAATTAATAATGAGGCAGACAAGCTCATTTTAAGCTCTATAGTTAGATGTTAAACCGGTTGCACAGCTGCACTCTCGCTGTTACTCATGTTCTGGGTCTCTTCACTCATTCATAAGTGGTCAAACTGTATACAGTAACTTTAAAAGCAGAAAAAACTTTATACTAAATAATTTCTAAGATACAAATAAACCCAAGTCTTCCTTCCAGGTGCTAGAAAATAGTCTGAGTGCAGAAAGAAATGCTCCGAGCGTCAATATTCAGAATTACTATTCCTAGCTAAAATGTAACGTCCGGGTAGGAGCATCAACTTGACAGGACCAACTCACTACCTTCCACACCAACAAGGCCGTACGTCCTTTAAGCCTCGCATTGCCTGTCAGAGGCTGTAATTCTAAGTTATTCCTGTGACGTTGATAAGCCTCGTTCACTATATGGTATTGCAGTGGTCTCTAGAGAAATATTTCTGACGTCCAACACACAAGAAGCACGGCCCCGGGCTGAAGTCCTAACACACCTGGGACACCACAGACCCGACCGCGCTCTCACGTCCCCCACCCACAGCAACAACGACCAGTAAGCTCCGGGGGAGCTGTGCTCCGACCCGCACGCCGTTCCGGGGAGCGACTCTAGGCCACGGGGGCCCACCTGGTCGCCAAGCGAGCGCGACACCCAGACAGAAAGGCGGAGTACCACACCTTGTTATTTCCGCAGGACATATCCATTGCTTCGAGGGATAAGGAGCAAAGTGCGTTCATTAAATGATGCAATGACACATCATCAAGATACCTAAAACAGAAATGAGAAAAAAGACACTGATCTAAAGTCTAACGCTGTTCACAATGTTTCCATCAGTGCTGAGAAACCGGCTCTTACTGTGAGCTCTCAAACAGCCGCGACAGTATGCTGGAAATCACTGGCAAGTCCGTCATCACCGCTGTCGTCAGGACCTGAGAGAAGAATGACACACTGTGACGTGCGCACCCGGGCAGCGGGCAGGGGGCAGCGCCTGCGGAAAGGAGCGGCTCCGGCTTACCGTACTGGGGCCTTCCGCGGCTCGTCCGGGCTTCAAGGCACCACCGCTGCTTGGCTTCAACCCCAGGATCCAGACAAGATGCTGTGAATGAGAGACCAGGAAATCAAAGCATTGGACAGAACTACAGTAACTCTACTAACCAAACTTAGAAACCGGCACTGATTTCCAGTAACTAACAAGAAAGGGAACAGCAGAACTGGAGACGCTTCGTCACTAAAACCAAGTCACTACTATTCACACTCACACGGAACAGTCCCTGCAGCAAGCCCGGGCGCAGAGGCGAGGCCACCTGGAGATGCCTCCCGCCACCGAGCCGCGAGCCTGGCCTCTCTCCACCCTCTCCCCGCCAGAGGCACCCACGGGCTTCAGCTCGGGCGCCCGGACAGCACACCGGCACTGGCCCCGACCGGAGACGGCGTACCTGCAGGGTCGCCAGGACAAGCTGCCACGACGTTCCGAGGACAGCCCCGTGACAGTGTGCCAAGTTGAGCAAAGTCCTCATACACTGGATATTTTTGGAAGTTAGCTGTATTCGAAAAGGACATACGTGTAAGAACTGTCATGCATTCTTGACAGTTAAAAGCCTGTAAAAACAGCATTACATGTGCAAAAAAATTAATGCAAAATAAAAACAGTAAGAAAATAGAACTGGACAGTTTTAAAGAGAACAAATTCATCTGTTGTTAGCGTAGCTGGTTATGAGGATGTCAGTTACAAATTAACTAGAATCTTCTGAGAGGATCAGATGGGCGAAAGAAGGTGCACATTCACTCAACGGTGGCAAACGGCAGCAGGGCACAGGGGGCCTGGTGACCCGCCACACTTACCATTACTGTCCCCTGAGGCTGCACCGCCAGAGGCTGGCCCACCGCCACGACCTGCTGGTGAGATTCGCTGGACGGGCTTATCATCACGACATTCTGACCCTGGATGGAATATGCTAGAACACAGAGGAAACCTAGCTAAATAAAATGAGCGGACACAGTTGAGTTCAAAACAGCCGCACCTTACAGCGGCGTTCCATTAAACTGTCACCTGCTCAGCTGCGGATTACCGACAGCAAATATTTTAAAACCCAGCGGCACGTTTGTCAAGCCGAGCGTGAGAGTCTCTCAGTGACTTCTTTAAATTATAAAACTTTGGTAGATTTCACGAGCAAATCAAGATCAGGACACCAAGTACACGCACATTTTCAGCCTGAAAACTCAGTGAGAATACAGAAACACAGTCACAGGCTATGTACAAATCTGAATGCTCTCAAAGAATTCAGCCACCAAAATCTGCAGGGTAACTCACGCTCAGGGCGTGGGAGCGTTACCGTTTGTTCCATTAAGAGTAGTAGCTATCACTTTCCACATTCGGTAGTGGTCTGACAGAATTTCCAGCTTTACGTCTTTTATCCTCGGGGCACTGCTTAAACTCGGCACAGCTCCCGCCACTCAGACACCGTAACAGAGGTGGGAGAAGCCGAGGCCCGGGCTTACCCTTGCTGGGGAGCGCGGCGGCGGCAGCGTTGTTCAGCGCAGTGAGCGCGTAGTGGGGGGGCAGGGCGCCCTTGCAGACGGCAGTGATGAAGGCGTCTCTGGAGGTCACGAGGCCGAGTCTCCCGCAGAGCGCGGCCATCGTCAGTTCAGCTTTTAAAATGTTCTCAGTGGCAGCTTCATCTGTGCTGAAAAGTCAAATAAGATTATGTATTAGCTAGTTATTTTTAATTACCACGCAACCATGATCTAGAATTACTTCATGCTTTAAGAATACACAGAAATACCAAAATAAATATACTAAGAAGGAATTGTCTCTATATCTGAAAATTAAAATAGACAAAGGCGGTATATGATAGGTGCACACATTAGTAAAGAAAATGTCGGAGAACTCAGACGTATCTATTTTTATGCATTTACTTTTCTAAATTAAATCGGTTTCTATACATGTTACATCACGGTTCATCTCTTCAGCAATGTTTACCTTCCCCCGACGTGCACCCGCTGAGGGTCCCCTCCCCAAGTTCGCCCTGACACCTCACCAGCGCCCGGTGCCCCTCCCGCGCCCTCCCGCCCAGGTCTCAGGTCTGTAACTGTCTGTGTTCTGTATCATCAGTGTCTCCTTTGGCTCCCTGCACCCCTCCTGCACGTGAGACCGGCTAGCGTTTTGCTCTTTCCTTGTGACCAGCGGCTCTGAGCACGGCCTCTTCCAGCTCCATCCAAGTTGTGAACGGCTTGAATGTGTCTCTGCTGACGGCTGAGCAGAATCCTGCTGTCTGTCCCACGCCCTCTTGATCCAGTCATCTGTTTAGGCATCTGGGCTGCCCCCAGGTGGCACCACTGACAGTGGTGCTGCGGGGTGCGCCGGGTGGGCCCCGGGTGGGCCTGCTGGGTCCTCTGGAAGCTCCACGTTAGCAGCCCGAGGAAGCCGCACGCGCTCTCCACAGTGGCTGTACAGCCCGCACTCCCGCCAGCAGTGCGGGGGAGCTCCTTCTTCACCAGCGCCTCACCAACATGTTGGGTTGCTAGCCCGATGACACGTGCCACTGTGGCCAGCGTGAGGTGGCTTCTCGCTGAGGTCTGACTGGCAGTGCCCTGATGAGGAGGGACGCTGCGCACCTTCTCATATGCCTGCTGGCCATGTGCATTTCCCCTCTGCAGAAGTGCCCTTTAAGTCCTGCTGCCCATGGGCTGCTGCACGTGTGCTTTGCTTTGCTTTGCTTTGCTCGTGTATCTTTGTGATGAGGCCCTCATCCACTGCAGGGAGTGCCAAGATTTTCCCCAGTCAGTGGGGTGTCTGCTTTGCCCAATGTCTCTTTGGCTGTAAGAAGCTTTTCAGTTCGATGTAGCCCCCGTGTTTACCTCTTCCTTTACTAAGACCTTGTATCTAACTTGAAACACCTAAGCTCCAGGGGCCTCCCTGGTGGCACAGGAGTTAAGGCTCAGCACCAGCACGGCGCGACTGCAGGCCCGGTTCGATCCTGGCCAGGGAGGGACCCCAGGGCAACAGGCCCCTCCTGTCTCCCCGCTGTCCCCTCAGCCGGGGGCCTCAGTGGATCTGCCTGCTCTGCTCCTACTCTGTCTCTGGGGTGACCTCTCACCCCCCTCCTCTGGCCTGCACCCCAGTTCTTGTGCACATAAACAAAAATAAATCTTTTCAAAAAATATTTAAAACCCGTACATTCCACGATTCTGGAAAACATCAAGTAAACGGAATAGCATCACTATCAGCAGTAAAAGCTGCGCTCTGCCGGAGTCCAGACGAACAGGCGCCCGGTTCCACACCGAAGGCTGCGGTGGGAGCCGGACCGGGGTGGCCGCCCACAGCCACGGCCGCACCCCCGGGACTCGCGCCGGCAGACAGCCCGGGACCACCCCAGCCGGCCCCTCGCGCGTTCGGCCCTGCCACCGCCACACGGAACACGCAGCGCGGCTCGCGGCCCGGTACCTGGCGTCGAGGAGGAGGGAGAGCGCAGCAAGCAGGCCGCACCAGCAGGCGTTCACCATCTCCTCCCAGACGGCTCTGCTCGCTGCAAGGAGAAAGACGCAATGCTTAGGGCAACGACGTCGCAGCGTCGACAGGGCGGCACCTGCAGACGCTCCCTGGTCACGTCAAATCCATGCCACAGGCCCCAGGAGCTCAGTCACCAGACACGAGAGCTGATATGTGAAATACATCACAGCTTAAAACCCGCTCCTTGCCTAGGACTAAAGCCACCTAAGAACACACTTCAAAGCATCAGTAAGAAGGTGCGTGGGTGCAGAAGTCCACCGAGACCTTCAACATGCACACCACGTCGCCACACACAGCGCGCACCCAAGGGCTGCGCCCTCGCCCCACCCTCGGGCCCCTTCCCGCGCCCCCTGCCGGTGAGCCGGCCACGTCGCGGTGGGCAGGAGGCGGCAGCACGCGCACTGGCCGGCCGCTGCTGGCCCTGCAGAAAGGAATCCCAGGTGTCAGTTCAAAACGGACCGTGTGGTCCGAAGAGCGGGGCCGGGTGTGGCTCCTGGTGCCAGACAGCGGAGACCTGGGGGCTCGGCACGCGGGCCCCGCCTGCACCCGCGGCATGCTCGCCTCGTGCGTGCGTTAGTTTCTGGAGCCGGTCTCCCTAAAAGGAGCTGGGACTCCTCGTACCAGTAAGCGACTGGCAAGACGGAAAGTCCAGGATGAACTCGGAAAACCCAAAATCCAAGATGACGCAGGGACGTGCTGCGGTACCGGGGCGAGGCCGTGCTCGGAGGACGGCAGCAGGCCCTGGAGGCCGCCAGGGGACACGGAGCTGGAGAGGCAGCCCCACGGCCACGACCGGCGGCTGTCCCACCAGACAGTGACCAGCACAAGCTGTGTCGCTTTGACTCCAAACCAGACTCTGAAAATTCACACCGGGACTAATAAAGAAACAAAGCAGGGAGCGGCCCTGGACGGGGCACCTCACTGTCGCCGGCGCTGAGCCCACTGCGGAGGCCAGGCGGCGCTGTCGTCACCAGGACGAGACGAGGGGACACGGCGCGTCCCACCGAGCTGACAGCAGTGGGCACGGCCCTGGCAAAACACCTGCGCTGAGCTTACTGACGAAGACGCAAAACTCAACCAGCCTGGCCTGTGTTCCTCCACAGGCCGCAGTCGTGTGACTCCAGCACGCCCCCAGCTGTTCCACACGGAGGAGCGTCAGCAGCGCGAGGCTCGAGCCAACCGTGATGCGGCCAGGAAGGCCAGCAACGGCCACGCCGCAGAGCTGCAGCGTTCCCGGGCGCCAACAGCGTGAACACGAAGCAGCGAGGGCGTGAGGCGCCGCGCCCGCCACTCGCCTCAGTCGGCTCAGGACAGCGCCGGGAGAGCCGGCGCGGAGAGGAGACGGCAGGCGCCAGCACGCGGGGCGGGGTGCAGGGGACAGAGACGCTGCTATGCTGACGACTTCTCTGCACTGTCTCAACTATTCAGAGTTAACCAAACAGAACGGGGTAGTGTACCTGTGTCCTCCTCCGTTCGGCCTGACGCGGACCGCAGTCCTGGCTGCTCTGAGGACTGTGCTGCTGAAGCCGCTGCCTCGGGGCTGCTCCGGCCCCCCGTCTCCACCGCGCCCAGCTCTCCTTCGATCAGAGCCGTGATCCCACGCACAAGGTCCAGCAAACAGTGAAAGGCCACCGACATGGCGTAGCCTTCCGGGATCGTCGGGGGCTCCACTTTGTCCAGCATCTCCAGGCTGAAACGGGGGAATCAGAGGACAGCGAGGAGCCAGAGTGGTGAGCACGGCGCGGCCGCCCACACGCTGACCGCAGAGGGGAGCGCCGCCTCGAGTGACCGGTCCCCGCGCATGCGCGGGTGCTGCGGCCGAGGCCCCCCACACGCCGCCAAGAGGCCGCGGGGACCGAGGCCCCGCCGCGCGCTGACTCTTCACCGCCGCCCTCCTCCCCCGCCGCCAGCGTCCCCATGGTGGACACATAACACAGGGTCAGGCTGAGATCACGTGATGTCTCCATGTTGACCTTGGTACTTCTAAAATAAAGAGCTATAAGCCCAAATCCGCCCTCGGAGGGGAAACGCACATGCGCTCACGTGCCCACAAACCCCTATGAAATACCGGAGACTCGATCTCTCACCAGTCACAGCCGGCCAGGCGTTTACTCCTGTCTTAACTAGGGAGCACTCTTGTTCCCCCCTTCCCCCTCCAGCACACATCTGCACTCTCCTCTTCGTCGTATTTTCTCACAACCTTCTGTTTCCACCTTCACTTTGCTCACGCCCAATCTCGGGTCACCTGTCCTTCAAAGGACGGCCCAGTGCCCACGTAACGTGTTCACTTGTACATTTACTGACCGACGCGACCCTGAAGTGCGAGCTCCATGACGGCCATGACGGAGCTTTGTTGGTTTTTTTTCCAACTTACAAACGAGGTGAAAGGTAAATATGACAACTACACGTGTCTGCTTCTCAGCTTGGTAATTTGCTATATTCAAGTCTTTACCTTTCATAGCAAAACACAGGTAACTTTAATATCTTTTAAATGACGGGGGGTAACAATACATTTCAGTATAACGTTTCTATCTGATATAACTGTATTACTATTTTTAGCAAAAAAGCTGCAGAGGACATTCCACTATGGTGGTAACAATGCAGACAGAAAACACCTACAGATTTATCACTGACACAAATCAGATTCCACTTTGTATTCTGTCTTGATTACTGTCACTCAGTGTTTTAACTATACATACAAATTAGTCAAATCAACTGCCTCACAGCAACTGTAGAAATGCTAAGCCTGTATTTTACTAAAAATTAAGGAAAATCTAAGACCACATTTGTTCAATTGAAATGACTAACTCACTGAATATAGTAAGTTCTGCCTATACATTAAACCCTAAAATGAAATTCGCTGAACTTGGAATACAAGGTTTATACATAGAAAACCCAGAAAGGTAGGTATGGCACTACCCCCAATTTAGAGATAAGGAAACTGAGATTTTTTAAAAAGGTAAATTAATTTACTCTATGTAACTCGTATCAGCAGATCTAAGACCAAGGGGCCTGCAGTCAAGACACATATTCAGAACCGAAGTTGTGCGGTAAAGAACCTACTCTGCCTTACAATGCCACTAGCAGACCAGAAATAGTACAAAGGAAACAGCCTCGAGACAAAATTCTCAAGTGCAGCAAAAGAAAATTGGTTCTAAAATGATTTAAAAACACTAGGCCTAAACTTTAAAACAGAAAGCAGAGGAAAACGTTTCAGGAGGAAATAGCCCGCCAGTCTCAGCCTCACAAGTCAACGCGGCCACTACTTACTACGTGGCCTTCGCGCTGCCTTGGACTGTTACCGTCAGAATGGGTATCCACGTTCCTCTGTACTCAAAGGCCGGCAGCAAAGTCACGCCTCCACCAATACCCAGCATCCCTGAGCTAGCCGGTGCCGAGACGGGTCCGCCTGAGTTATTGTTTCCTGTTAGTTAGAGGAAGAAAGCAAAAACCACTTAATTACAGAATTACGAACAAAAAATAAAATCCAAACACCTGGTTAGTTTTTAAAAATTGTGCTACAGAAACACATGTGCACAAACAAATCAGGACAAACCCTGCCGTGGCTATCAGAACCACTCCCTGTTTCCCTAGAACATCATTTCTTTTTCTATAGAAACAGCACTTGTAAGTAAAACATGACAACTCTATAATCTGCCTTGCATTGGGGCATTTTTATCAGAGGCGGGAATAAAAAACAGAGACCGCTCTTCAGACAGGGCAAGGCGGAAGGCGAGCAAGGCAAGAAACAAGACGGACTTCCCAGCAAACGCAAACCAAGTCCCCTAGTTTGCTGCAAGTCTACAAGGCCTTGAAGGGGAGCAAAGACAGACTCAGGTGAAGCTTTTCCTAAAATGAAGATGAGCGTCTAGACGCTTGCCCCCTGTGAGGAAGGGGAGAAACACAGCTGCGCCGTGAGGGACATGACTGCAGCGCAGGTCTCCACTGTCAGCCTACCGGGCGCCTCACGTTCCTCTAGTCACACAGCTCCACGAAGTGCTCTCTCCCAACAGCGCGCGTCACACACCGGGGCAGAGCAGGAAAACCAACTGAAAGACTGTACCCGCTTGGTTTGCGGTGACGGGGTTTCCAGCAGGAGGGACGAGGAACAGGGACTGGATGAAGGACCCGAGGGCGTTCACGATGTCACGCAGCACCTTGGTGGAGTGCTGCTTCATGTCGTAGCACTGGCAGAAGGACCTGCGGGTCGGCGCACGTGTTACCGGGAGCAGCGGCTGCACCTCGAACCCCACGAGGGCCGCACAGGCCAGTCCCAGCGCCCCTCACGCTCACCATGGCCCACTGGGCACGGCCGCAGCACTCGGCCTCCACGACAGCCGTGCCGCTGACCCCTCGGGACGGGCACCTATGTTCCCCAAACCCTCATGGTTAATTTTCTGCCATTCTCTGTTCGTAACCCTAAAGCGTGCTCAGACTTACCCTCTGGATACAGAAATGAAACTGTCTGCTCTACGGAAAGAAAGCCAACTTCATACTTGAGTGGCTCTCCCAGCTCAGGACAAAGGCTGGGACTGAGGTCAGAGCTGGAACACTGACCTCTGACTCAGTAAACTGGACCGGGGTTGCTCAGAGGAGGTGGATGTCTCCTGGGGTGGGGCAGGAACGACCACTACGGGGGCTTCCAGGAACTGGAGGGGTGGGCAGAGGAGGTCAGCACCTAACAGCAACCAGCCCGGCTGCAGAGGTCCACGGTAGCTCCCCCAGGAGCAGGCCTCAAGGGTGCCCTTCACTGGAGCCCCGACGCCTGCACGGGGGCCTCCCGAGAAGGCCGCCTGTGCAGGCAACTAGTCCAGCTCTTTCCTCAGGACGCTGCGGGTGGCTGCGGGGGCTCTGCTGACCAGGCCGGAGGAACCCACAAGCCCAGTCCCTGCAGCCCAACCACGGCAACCGCTGACCACGTTCTGCCCACCTGGCACTGTTTCCACAGCCGCAAACCTGTCCTCCTGCCTCCCCCCGAGACCGTTCCCTCTGCCGGGACAGTGCTGCGTGCGGGGCCAGCGCCCGCCGCTGAGCCGTCACCTGAGCAGCTGCGGCTGCACACACAGCCTGTGTATTGACTCCACCGCAACAGCGCGCAGCCACTGTGGCTTGTCTGCGTCCAGGAACTTCACCAGGAGGGACAGGAATATCTCACATTCAGTTACCTAAAAAGTGTAAGATTATTTTAGATTTCTTGAAGCCAAAGATAAGGACTGTAAATTGCATTCTTACTAGTGCTAACCAATAAGGACAAGCCAGTAACTTAATCTTTTAACATTCAGGAAATTAAAATTCTTAATGGGGAATGGAGAAAAAGAAGGGAAGAGCAAGTGTGTGGAGAAGCCACAGTGAAAACGCCCGGTTTCCTCGGCACGTCAGTGGCCTGGGAGGCAGCGCGGCAGCCCGCGGCGCCCTTCAGCTGCAGGAAGGGCAGGTCGGGGGGCCCGCGGGGCGCCCCGTGGTTCTGGGAGGGCAACTTCAGGCTGCCTCTGCCAGGCCGGCCCTGCCCCGCAGCCCTCTCCGCCCTCCGGCTCCGGCACCCGCAGGGAAGGCTGTCTCGGCAGTGCTCAGGGCACGCCCACGCCAGCCCGCAGCGCCCAGTCGACCGACAGGCGCTCCCGCGAGCTCCCAGGCTGTGTGGTCCCCGGCCGTGCAGCGAGGGGGCCTGAAGCCAGAACACACGCGAGGCCTCGCCGCGTCCTAACAGTTGTTTCTTTCCCAAGCCAAGCAGCAGCGCTGCCAGGAGGCTTCGCAGCAGCCAGGAGCAGTCCCAGGACAACCCGCCCTGCCCTGCCCTGAGCACGCTGCGGTGGCCAGCAGGGAGCGCCAGGGGAGAGGCCCATCGGCCGGGCCGGCCCCGGGCCCACGCGGGGTGATGCCTCCTCCCCAGGAAGCCAAGTGAGAAAAATGTAAGAGTAAAATTGTCCCCTGGACATGATGAAATGCCAAAGAAATGCTTTTCCTGAACAGAGTGACCTCCCTCTAGGTAAGGGGCTTCCGGAACCACGCCAGTGACTGGCGGCATCAGCGGTTTCTACGGAAGCTGACATTAGTACAGCTGGTTCCAGGCGCACCGCCCGCTTCAGAGCGAAAGGATGTCAACGTGGGCGACTGCAGGCCTCAGCTGGGTCTGAGGCCAGAAAGGGAAGCGCCGGGGGTCCCCCCAAAGGCATCATTACCGCAGAGCGGGCGCGGACAAGCACCTCCGCTCCCAGCGACAGTGACGACGTCACAGATGAGAGAAACCTCTTACTGCAGCTGCTAAGATCTCAGAGCCCTGTGAGGAGCCCGAAGCCTTGCTCCCCTCTCCCTTCCTTGCCCAGGGCGGGCTGCGTGTTCCGGAAGCCGCTAAGGACATGAGCTGCTCCCGAGGGCGCTGGTGGAGGTCCCTACTGTCCCTCCGTCACGCTTCTCCCAAAGACTGTGGCCGCAGGAACACAGGCACAGGCCAGGGCTGCCACCTGCGGCCTAAGCTCACGCTGATGACACAGGTACCTGGACACTAGCATGACGGGCCAAGAGACGCTCTCCGAATCCTACAGTCCTTCGGCACCGAGTCGAGACAGCGGCGATCAAGAGGCATCAAGCCGTCTTGGCAGAAATTCCAATCACAATAGTGCATGAGATCACGGGTGTTAAAGGTAACTATTTGAGGGCCGTGTGTGTGTGTGTGTGTGTATGTGTGTGTGTGTGTACAACAAAGGAGCGTAGGCCCAGCAGTGCAGGAATGAGAGAACTCACCAGCGGCAGAGTGGGGAGCAGACACAGACCTCAGTGAAACGCCGCCCCGGGCGCGGCAGGCGAGCGGGAGAGGCCTGTGCGCCGGGTGTGGGTAGTCCCCGGCTGGGCTGACCTTGGGCCACAGTGGTGGCAGCGCCAAGACTCGCCCTCGGCCGCCGGGGAGGCCCAGTGATGGCTATTCCACTTGAGACAATGAACCAAGAGTGCAGAACATGTCATGCAGGGTCCACTTCTCAGGGGTGACTAGGGTCACCCACCGAAAGATGCTAGTAGGTAAGAACTTTGGTTAGAGAAATGTCTGTGCAGAAGCAGAAAGTTAGTTGGACAAGTCAATTCAGTCCCACTGGATTCCAGAAAAAAGAAGCCAAAGACAGAAGAGAAATGTAAATGCCTTAGGCGCTCACATGCCCCTTGCAGACGCCTTCCTCCTGAGAGATCTGCCACTGCCTAAGGGGTCCGCAGGGCAGAAAAGCAGCTCGCGCCAAAGATGAAGCGGGAAAGAGTATGCCACACTGGCTGTGTGACTGTGACCTCCTAGCTTCCTGGTCACTCTGGATTCAGCAACAGGCACTTCAGTGACTTAGTCATCTTCACCACTGAGACACTGGATAGAATGACATAAGCTGGATACTGGGGAGAAATCCTAATTCTATAAATCAGTGGTACCCCCCAAAATAGTCCTTGGACCCTTGGGGCCCCTGGAGCCATTTCTGGGAGTCTGCAGGCAAGACGGTTTCCCTGGCACCAAGACACGAGCGGCCGTGTCCACGTGCTGGCAGTGCCAGAGCGGCAGTGCCGAGCTCTCCCCGCTGCAGGAAGCAAAGCAGCGACCACCAGCCAGGAAACCGGACCAGAATGCGACATTCTCCCCCGGAAACAGATGAGCTCACAAACCTTCGAAGAGGGGCTAAGGCCCATGTTCCTCCAAGTCTTCTAAAAAGTCGAAAAAGAAGGCGTAATTCCAGATACCCTGAGTGAGGCCAGCATTTCCCTAACACCGAAACCAAACAAGGGCAACACAGAAAGGAAGTTTACAGCCCCATCTCCCCGATGAACACAGATGCAAGATGCTGAACAAAATCTCAGCCCCAAGTCCGACGAAGCTCAGCACACACAAATCCGCTATCTTTCTATATACTAAAAATGAGCTAGAAAAGGGAAAAATTAAGAAAGTGATCCCAAATGCATAAAAAAAATTCAATAACTAGGCATAAGCCTAACAAAAATGGCCCTCTCTGGGGGCGCAGCGGGTTACAGCACAGCACTGAGAAGCCAAAGCCGCTTCTGCATGAGTCCGATCCCCGCCTGCCCCGGGGGTGACCCCAGGGCGCGGCAGACCCCTCCTGACCGCCTGCTGCTCCCTTCAGCGGTGGACTTCGTCGATCTGCCTGTCCTGCTCCCCGCTCTGTCTCTGGGGCATCCTCTCACTGCCCCTGCACCTCTGGCCTGTACCCCAGTGCTGTGTGCATAATCTTTAAAAAAAAAACACTGAATGCAATTATGTATATAAACACATAAGAGAACTGGTACTTACCAAAAGACTATAGAACTGCTTAATCAGAACAGATACTACTCTCAGCAAGCGCATGCAGATAGGGAAATACGGCTTTTCAACTGGCGCTGGAGAAGATGAAGTAGTGGAACCTTGTCTGAACTTGATATTCGGAGAAAACAGCTTTATCACAAGTGGGCATACCCTTTCTTTGAGGAGGAAACTGAATTCCTGATGCTATTTGCAAATGTGAAAAGAAAGAAAAAAAATCAGAATTAATTTGGTGTGTGCTTAAAGCTTCTAAAACAATTCATTACTATGTACAACTTCTTAGTAATCAGGAATAATTTAAGTTTACAGCTTGTTTTAGTTTACATAAAATTCTGTAGTACCGCACTTGAGAGCTAAGATCAAAATATTTACTTTAACAAGTTTTAAAAAGAATCCAAATTGAAGAGAAGCATTTAACAATTTTAGATCTAAGTGCAGCTTATACCGGGGATTTTAATTCTAGAAGGGTATTAGCAATGAAAAATACAGAGGCCAGAAGAAGACATATGACCGAAATTCACAGATAAACCACTAAAGTGGGGGGAGGAGAACCACACGCAGAGTCAGCTTGGACTCCGGTGTCTTACCACCAAAATTTCTTCTTCTTACTTTTTCCCCATTTAACTTTGTTCGAACACATCTGGTAAAGCACATTAAATTCACTGAGCACCTACCATCTCTTTTCCCACTGACATTCTTGGAAAGCGCCACACCACACATAAACCACACAGCCAGCAGCTGTCCCTCCAAGCCGTCAAGTGGTGTGGGGCAGCCCCAGTGCCACACCCTCCTTCGGCACAGATCGGGACGTGACAGACCAGACAGTCTCTCAGATTCCTTCGAGTATCAACATTTCAAAATGCTAGGGAACTGTTAAGATGTTGTGATTAGAATTCTCTGCATCTTTCAACTGGGAAAAAGAGATGCTGCTGTCTTGACAACGATCTACGGACACTCTAAAGGTTAATGCGGCGAGACGCCACCAACGGCTTACTTGTAAAAAGACTTGTGGAAAATCATTCAGGACTGACTCGAGCAACTCCAGGCCGAAGGTCCGCGTCATCTCTGTCATGCCCACTAGCCAGTAAGGCGCGTCGGCGTTGACCAGCTGGCAGAGGTCCTGAAAAGGCAAGTCAGCAGCGCGCACAGATGCACACACGCAGCTGGCACGAAGTGCCCTTTTCAAGACTTAGGCTTGATAAAGCTGGAAAAGTGCTCTGATAGAGTCGTGGTTTTCACTCCTTAAAAACAGTGCAAATTTAAATTCTGACGAACTGCACAATTCACCATCTAACTAACTTGTAAAGAATCGTAACTATCAACAACATATGGAATATACAGTTAATCTAACTTTGCTTTGAAGAAAAATTACTTAAAATAATCGTTTAGTTCAAATTAATAAAATTCACAATGCAGATGAGTGTGAGTTGACTTTAAAGACTTACTGATGACAAGTCACGTGAAATCAGGCATTGGTACGACAAGCTATGTTAAGCAGGCTAGAAGTTTTCGCTTAAATTTTCTTTGACAAAGGATTTATTTTGTATAGTCAAGCAATCCTAATATAACTATTTTCTGGTTCTGGGGTTCAGTTTATTTTATTCTCGTAAAGTAAAATATAACATCTGATCATGTCAATTAGCTATAGGTGATCTGTAATGTTTTAGAACATTTTTGAAATACCACTTTTAACCCATTTTTTAATCAACACATTAAAAAGTTAAATCAGACATAAATGTCCAAAATAAAAAACTCATACAAAACTGTATTCCATGAGAATTCTCTTTCTCAACTCAAATACCTGAAAAAGCATATACGCGTCTTTAGCACAGGGTTTGAGAGTGCTGACGGATCTTCTGTTACTATTTCCTTGGATCAGAACTGGTTGTTCTACAGTATCTACAATCAAAGCAAATGGAATTTAGGAGTTCACAGTGACCTTAATAAATCATGTTACTCTTTAGCAGGTTTATTTAAAACACTTACTTACAGAATTATAAACTTCCTAAGTTCAGGACTATACTTCAAAATAAAAAAATACTGGAAATCGTATTTTTAAACAACTGTCATTAAAAAACGACTCTCCACTCTCTCAATTAAGTAGAATTAATGTAATTGTTGCTCATATGTCTGATTTTCTCAGTCTCCCATTCTCCAGTCCCTTTACTTTATGGTTTCAAAATGGGTATGATCTTTGAATGTGCCTTTACATAACAAGCAAACGTGAGAGTTTAGTGCATAGTGTTCAGTGAACTCCTGGTCTTTACAAACACACAGCCAAAGCTACCACTCTACCATACCAAGGTCATGAATACGTAAGAACATTCAAACCTGGAAACTGCCCGTTTTACACTCTATAACTCTATAGTACTTAAAGGATAGAAAAATGAAGAAAAATAATCCGGACTTCGTGGAAATATTGGAAAGGCCCAACAGATTAAGAATGCCTAAAATGTTAAATGTGAGAAACCGGAAGTGTTCTGCTGAGTTAGGTGGCCTAAGTTCACGAGGCAAAGGCGGAAAGCCGTGGCTGTGGGAACGGACTCCCATAGAAAGGGAGCAACTTTCGCCACTTACCTCGGTGTCTCTCATCCTCAGCAACCATTCTCTCAAAAACAACAGTAACAACCTGTCGAACTGTAGCAGCAGCCGTATTATTCGTGATATTATCTTTTGTGAAATGCAGTCGAAAACAAAGCACAATCGCCTGAAAAGAATTGCACCAGGTATGAGATGGGAGAAGAACATGCACATGCTTCAGTGTCTGATATATCTGAAAATTAAATCATTTAGATGTGGCTGTTTTGATTGCAGATATTGAAAAGATGTGCCCCTTTTTATACAATGAAACTACAAAATGCTTAGTTTTGTAATTACTAAACTCTGAGTAAATATACAGTCATAGAAGATTGAGTAACATGAAATGTATCTTTTACAATTCAGTTATTTTAACATGTATATAATATTGTGAGTTTATTTCCCCAGAAACACTAACAAGTCAGCAAATACGCAAAGCTTATTAATCACTAAATCATCTGGAAAATACCACATAAAACTCTGTAGACTATAAAGAGAATACAATTATGTACTTTCAAGTTACTCCTTTTTTCTTTAGAGTCAACTTTATTAAGGAGTAATTTATCTGCGCTAAGCTGGATCCCTTCAAAGGACCCGTGTGATGGGTCTGACACTCGCCATGAAGTAGCAGCACAACACAAGAGCACTTCTCCCCGGAAGCCCCTCACGCAGTCTGCAGTCCGTCTCTGCCTCTGCCCTGGGCCCTGGCACCCACTGTCTTGGCACTGCAGGCTGCCTGGCATTTCCTACGATGTCACACAAATGGGGTCCTTTGCGCCTGGCTTCTCTGGCTTACGACCTGCATGGCGGTGGGACCCCGCCTTTCCCCTGTGGTGCTCTGTGGTATGACCACACCAGGGACACTGAGCCATCACCTGCAGCTGGACATGTAGTTTTTGCCAGTCTTTAGCAGCTGTGAATCAAGCCACTGTGAACATTCACACAGAAGTGTTTTCATTTACGTCAGTTACATACCTAGAAGCTAAGTAGAGGTTAAACTTTTGTAAGAAACCATTGTTTCCCAAAATGGTTTTATAATTTTACATTGCTGCTAGCAGTGTGGATGAGTTCAAAAGTATTCCATGTTTTCAACACTTGATCTGGCCTCACTTTTCGGTCTTGGCAATTCCAGTGGGGATGCGACAGTTCCTCCTCCCGGCTTTCACCTGCTCTGCCCTGGTAGCTGACCACCCAGGGCCACGCTCCATGCAGTCACCTGCCATTTCGCGAGCTCGTTCGTAAAGCCCTGGTTGAAACTGTCCACCTTTACTGGCTCTTTGTCTCAACAGTGAACTACACTGGCTTTGTGAATTCTAGGAACATGCTCTTACCCCCACTCTGCCTTCCCTGGCATATCCTGAGACATTTCTGTATGTGGAGGTCTCTATGCGCCTCAATTCTGTACATTTACACAGTTCAATTTTCATCTCAAAATATTACGTGTGCAAATTAACCAACATACTAAAATAAATCCTGTAATCAGTTCTTATTTCTTTATGTCTTATAAAATTGTAGGCATTTGTACCAGAGAAGTCATTTGATAGCTAGGAAGCAAGAGGGACTGTACCGAGCAGGTATGTATGAAAACACTGCAGGTGCCCGGCAGACAGCCGGAGCTTCTCGACTGAGCCCCTCACGATGCCCTGCCCTGGCAGGCAGAGGACGGGAGCTAGGGATAGTCAGTCCCTTGAGAAGCTTCTGTCTGTGCCTAAGTCTTTCATCTTCCTGTCCCTCATCAGAGAAGAGGCCCCCTGCCCTACTCTCCTGCTCTTTTCCTAATCAGCGAGCCAGCACTGCCCCCACCCTGATGAAGTAGGACATTATAGTCTGGGGGGCGGAGGCCTCATGCAGCTGGATGGTTACCGGGGAATGTGCCCACCTCACCTAGGAATTCCAACTCCGCCCTTATTGCTGAGGGTGAGGTGCCCCGTGAGTCTGCAGCGTGAGACCCCACCGTCCTCAGGACCCACGTCCCAAAGCACAGGGCCACACTCCTGGTCCACTCCATCACTCTGCAGAATTACAGCCATATTCTCCTCACAGTCGCTACTAAGTTCAGCGCTCCTCCGCTAACCCATTTAATGCTGCTCTGGTAGTCATCAAGCCCAAGAAGAACCCAGGGGGGCAAGGGTGATGTCTCATGCCCTGACACTACATAAAAAGTATTTCACACAGCAGGTGAGAGATTAAAAGAATGAGCAACTTAGTAAAACATAATTGCAAGTAAGTAAAACATCAGGACATAAGAACAGCAAATGAGTAACCAGAAAGAACAGATCAGCTCTGGAGAGAGTCTCCCCTCAGCCAATGCGACAGTACAATTTGCTACTCTGTCAGCGTGCTAAAAGTCTGCAAATTATAACATCTATTGAGATGGCAAATTCCTTAATAATAAGCCATTAATTAAAGACTGTCCTTCATATTTTCTCTACACTTCGATCTTTAAAAATACTTCAACTTCAAAAAACTTTAAAATGAGCAAAATAAGCAAAGGCTGTTGTGCGTTCCACAGAGGGTGAGTGGGGAGGAAGTGAGAACAGTCGATCACACAGCAGGCTCATCTGGCATAAATGTCAGGAGAATGCTGCCGCTACTCAGGGAAGCAATTTGAATGAAGTACATGGCGGTGTACTGCATCCGTGTGACATCAAGCGCAGAAGATGTGGAGAGCAGCACTGCCCGAAGCCCACTGTTCTCCCGCGCCGCCCTCCTCCTACCGACTGGTGCTACTCTGCCCCATTTCCTAGTCCGGCCTACGAGTGCCCGCTGCACCCACCCACGGGACTGCTCAGGCCCCGCGCCGGACACCACTCTCCCTGGGTAACTGAAACACGCACGCAGCGCCCAGCGCCACACTGCAGGGCGACGCTCGGCTCTAACAGCCCTGGGCTTGGCTCTTTCGGCCAGCAAGCGGGTTCCAGCGAGGCCCGGCCGCTGAGAGCCGTGGCGACGGCGCCTACCTTGGACAGCGCCTCGCCATGGGCGACTGTGCTGGTGGTCAGAAGGACAAGGACTGTCTGAAGAAGCTTAAGTTCTTCCAGGCTATTTTCCATTAGCTGCCAAAGCATGTTGATTATGTTTCCAGCTGCAGTCTGTAAAGTAATAGTTTAATTATTGGCAACAAGTAAAACACAGGTGATTAGTCCCTAAGTGAAAAATAGCATACAGCTGAGTCGCTTGGCGAGCATTTCTTGATCAAAGTAACATACTGGTGTTTCCAGACCTACACATCCAAAGTCATGACTCTCCACTAGTTTGAGACTGAAGCCAAAAACCCAAACTTCCTTAAAAGGTAATACCCCGAATATTTCATTTAGGTATTAATGAATATCGGCACGTACAAATTAACTGTGAGCCTACTGTTATTTCTTATATTTTATCTATATTATTACCAAAAAAGAAGTTTAGCTTAAATTAGCAATGCATCTATAAACGCAATAAAACCCAACACTTAGACAGAAGAAGTCACCACGTCCAGGAAGTACAGGGCGGAACACAGTTAAGGCAACACTACCGCTCTGAAAGACGCGCTTTCAGTGAGGAAAATGCTGCCGTCATAAAGTTAGGTTAATAGAAGACAATGTATCACTTCAGATAATCCAGAAAATAGCTTTTCCCTCCCACCTTAAAAAAAAAATGTAAGAATATATACAGTGTCTTCAATGACGCTGCAAGTCTGCCTGGCTCCGGAAGTTACCATCTAGACTGCTGCACTGTGTGGCTTCTCTACAGGTAACAAACTACTCCGTTTTTATTTATTTATTATGAGTGCTTAGTAACAAGACAACTAGCAATCTTTTAAAATTAAGTCATGTCCTTTAAGCACAGTGCTGGTGATGAAAATGTTTTACATTCAGTCAGTTTGATTCTCTTTGTCAAAACTCCAGGTTCAAGTCTTATGTGCACAGCCCAGACAAAATCTTGGCGTTACCTCAGACACAACTTCATGTGACATGAGTCTCTGGATAGCGGCCAGGCACAGCTGCGTGATCTTCGGCTCCTTGGTCCCACAGCCCATGAGAAAAGGCTGCACAACTTCTGAGCTGTTCTCCTTCAGTGCTTTAGTCAGAACACATGCACAACAAATGAGTAAATCCAATTTACACACAGGATAAGTTTTTAAAATAATTGCAACCTATAATGACAATCCTTTATCCAAACAAGTGAGTTAAGACACCGACTACCCACCCCTGCAGCCGCCCCCACGCCTGTCTTGACACTGTCCTCTGGCTCCCTCCCCTCCTGCTAGTGTTTAGCTATGCGAAGGGCAGCAGCTCTGGCCTGCCTCACAGGGGCAGCAGGGGGAGGGGATTAAGAATTCACACTCCAGAACCCCCAACTATACTACTGTATTTAAGTACAGAGACCTCTTAGAATTTTATTAAGCCTTGAATTTACATAACCCTAATTTCTTCCCTAAGAAATAAACACATTAAAGACTATTCTGTTATTACTGAAGCATGACTTCAAAGTTATCAGATGTGCGTGCTCTTATTCCAAATCTTAATTTAACGCCTTCAAGCAATTCTTTTAGAAGTATTAAAGTAACTACAAAATGTAAATGGTTAGAAAATACACACACTGAAGTACATGTAATTACATTTACAAAATAAAGTTAAGTCAATACAGATTCCCTGAATGGCTGCAGTGAAATGGGTAAGATAGGTCTGTCATCCCAGGGGAATCCATCTGAATCGCCTGAAGCTCCAAGTCAAGAGAACATTATGTCTGGATACTTGATATGTGTTTTCACATATTTCATCAATTATTTTTTTGAGGTTAAAATTGTAGTAAAGACAGACAAGTCTAAGTCTTAGCATGTTTCCAAATGAAAAGTCCTCCAGGATCATCATTAAAAGTGAAAAACCAGGCCCGCCAGCCCTCCCTGGTGGCGCAGCGGGTTACAGCACAGCACTGAGAAGCTAAAGCCGCTTCCGCACGAGTTCGATCCCCTCCTGCCCCGGAGGTGACCCCAGGGCGCGGCAGACCTCTCCTGGCCCGCCCGCTGCTCCCCTCAGCAGTGGACTTCGTCAGTCACCCTGTTCTGCTCCCTGCTCTGTCTCTGGTGAATCCTCTCACCACCCCCGCATCTCTGTCCTGTACCCCAGTTCTGTATGCACAAATACATCTTAAAAAAAAAAGTGAAAAACCAGTATCAACATGAATTTTATCATTAAATCCCCACCCACTTTCTCCCAAAGCTCTCTTTATAGTGAGGTAAATACATACTACAATTTCTTACATCATATTCTGCAAAATTCCTCTGTATACCAGCATAAAATTACTGACTTAAGAAGTGCTAAAACAGCAGAGATGACAAAAGATGTCCAACATTAAAGAGAAACATCAATTAAAATAAGGATCATTTTCCTGCTCAATTATCAATAAGAAACTTTAAAAAATAACAACCCTGGCAGGATGTTACGAAGATACACGTGGTCCATGTGTAAACAGTGTGGAGCAAATTCCAAGAATATGTTCACGTCCTTTAACGATTTTAATTGTAGAAATACATCTTCAGGTAGTAATTCTAAGCACCGAAACATGCCTATGGTGAACTAAGCTGCAATCATTTGCTAGAACGTCACATAACAATTTCTAAACATCACCAAGTGCCTGAGGCGGCAGCGGCTGTCCGTAGCAAGGACGCAGGGCAGGGAGGCCGCGCGAAGCCGCCTGCGGGCTGCAGGGCCCCCGCCACCTCGTCTCCACCCTTCTGCCCAGGTGCGCACAGCGCTGGCCGCGCGGACTCGCGCAATTTCGGGATGGCTCGGCGGCAGAGACCGCGGGCGGGCGCCACGGGACCCTGCGGAGATTCCTATCGAAACACGCAACACGTGACTTCCCCTGCAAACTCCTGCCGTCACCTGCTCCGGGAGCCAGACGACGGCTTCCTGAAGAGAAGCCGGAACTAGACCGGGCGAGTTTGCACCTCCTGGACGTGTTTCGTGGTCTCCTTTACCCCCCCACACACCGAATTCACCTGCCACCCAACCCTTGCCAGGCTGCAGGGCTCCGCTCCAGGCCCCGGGGAGGCAGGGGCTCGCGTTCGCCTCCCGACCAGCCTGCTGCGTCTCCTCCTTGGCATCATCACACTGCCCGGGGTCAGGGTCCTCTCACAGGGCCATCTCCTTCGTGGCCTGCGGCTGGCGGACACACACTGAAACGCGTGTGCCAGCACGTCACAACAAAACCAAAGAGAACAGAATAACAGCAGAGGCGAGGCAGGCGCTGCTTGCCGGCGGACCTACATGTCCTGAGCACCCTTGAACGTGCTAAAACCAGCACCCCGGGGAGAGAGATCCAGAGTGGCGCCTGCCCCAGGGAGTCTGTCATGGGACAGGAAAACGTCCAGCAAAACAGTTCAAGAGCCAGGGGCGCGGCAGGTCAGGCGAAGAGGATGAACGGCACAAACACACTTTTTCGAGGCCCTTTCTTCTACTTCAGAGACTGCAGGTGCGTGACATCACCCTTCTTTGTCTCGCTTCCTCCTGCTTTAAGCCTGTGTATTTCCTTACTAAGAATGGTGCATGATACGCTCTGCAGATGTTAGTAAAATATCTCTAGTGTGTGTGTAGATAAAGAATATTAAATAAAATCAGCAGACAAACTACCTTTTAATGTCAGAAGAAAATACAAGGTGTTTTCTCATTGCTACTTAAGAGATCTTTAAGTTACAGGACCATGCTGATAGGAAAAAGGTGGGAGCACTGTGTAAGAAAGCGACAAGTCACACACAGTAAATGCCCCAGGTAGTACTGACAGCAGCTGAAAGCAGCCACGGGTAAATGTAGCTTACAGTTTCGAACAGGCGTTAAAGATACAATTTTAGGGTGAACTGGGGATGGGAAGTCCATGGGGATTGCAGCTGAGATGGAAAAAGGCACAAACAATGTAAAAACAAACTTTTATAATAAAAAAGATACAAACCTTATCAATGCCCTGTCTATTTGAAGCTGGGATAATGAAAGCAACCTACAACGTATGATTGTCAAATAGAAGGTTAAGGCACCTGGCCTTACCCATGAAAACTTAGCGTCGCGACCTCTCACTCGCTCAAAGTGACGGCATGTGGCGCGGCACCGCCGACGCCCGCACTCGTGCGCGGTGGACAGAGCAGAGAAGCACGAAAGCAGGAGCCTGCCAGCGAGGGCAAAGCAGGGGCCGATCTGCAGTGTGGAGACCGTTCTCTTGGAAATTACATACAGGAAAGCTCAAGTTGCCTACAATTCTGTGCTGTGCGTCCATAAGGAGAGCAGTTGATACTAATTAAGGCGCTGGTTTTCACAGCCACCCTCTAGGTGTTTTGGATGTTCAGAGATACCTGGGATTCAGTAATCACGTCGACATCCTATCTCATTTGAGACTTCCAAATCGATTACACGAAAGCAGTGGACTATAATCTCCAGCACCAGAAAGTAACTACTCAGGAAAGAAAAGTGAACTAAGTTTTTTCTTTTTGTAAGTAACTGTATTCTTAAGTAGTTTAGAAACTATATTTTGATTGGTTTTTAAACCTTTTCCTTGTTCCTACAAGCCACTGATTATCAAGACAGCAGAGGTCTATAAATCTATACATTTTGGGTATCAATTGCTACAAATACTTGGTAGAAAAAATGCAGAAACAAAGTCTAAATGCTAATATACCTCTTCAAGTACAGGACTCTGGGACTATTAAAACTATTAATTGTATATGCATAAAAGTTGGTCTAGCTTGATCTGAATAAAGGTAAATGATTAACAATGAAATTAACATCTCACCCATAGATAAAACTCACACTAAGTTGGACAAGATGTTTTTACTTGTTTGTAAGATTAATTGCACATTTTTCTTGGAATGGACCTTTGCATTAGACAAATGATGCTCTAAACTCTTTTTTAAAAATCTTCTGTTGAACTGGACTATGGTGATGGCACATGGGTGATTTGGTGATGGGAAACCCAAGGGGATTGCAACTGAGATGGAAAAATGCACAAAAATATTTAAAAATGAACTAATATAGGCCCTCCCTGGTGGCGCAGCGGGTTACAGCACAGCACTGAGAAGCTAAAGCCACTTCCGCATGGGTTCGATTCCCGCCTGCCCCGGAGCCCGGAGGAGACCACATAGCGTGGCAGACCTCTCCTGACCCGCCCGCTGCTCCCTCAGCAGTGTACTTGGTCGATCTGCCTGTTCTGCTCCCCACTCTGTCTCTGGTGAATCCTCTCACCCTCGCATCTCTAGCCTGTACCCCAGTTCTATATGAATAAATCTAAAAAAAAAAAAATGAACTAATATATATATAAAAAATCTTCTGTTCATATATATATAATGAAAACTTCCTTTACTGGAGAATTAAGGACTTACCATGCTATCAGCAATGACAGCAGCAAAAATTCGCAATGATCTTCTACTCTGATTGGTCTATGATATCGCCAGTTCTAAAATATCAGATCACCGTCTGTTCAAAGCAGTGATTTCCTCCCGTAACTAATCTACCCAGAGGCATCTCCCAAGCCTGCCTGCCCCTCCCAACCCAAACCACACCTGCACTGCCCGGCGCCTCGCACACCCGTCAGCATGCACGCAGGGCACTAGCCCATGGGCCATGTTTTGAAGCTGTGCGTATTTTGACAGCATGTTTAAAATCAGGGAGCAGGTGTGAGGTACAAATGAAATCTGACAGAACTAACCCTAGGGGCAGGTTTCCAGCAAAGCAGCCGCCAGAGTGGCATCAACTCTCACTTATCACTCTCACTGCCCCCAAAGTGCTCATCTGTAACAGTCTTTGAAATGTTACCAGTTAGGAAGCTTTCAGTATCCCTTTTTAAGAAGTGTAAAGAGAGGAGTGTTGCAAAAGCGCTTTGTGGTTTGCACTTAATGTAAAGCAGCTCAGCAGGGCTGTTTTTCTCCCGCGGCCGCCGGAGTCCAGAGCGTCCGGAGCTGCGAAGGCAGACTGAGGACGCCCGGCGCCGGCGCTGCGAGCGCCCGCAGAGCAAGCAGGGCTCTGGGAAGGCCTGGACCTGAGTCTGGGTTCACCACTCGGCATGTGACTCTGAGCAAGCAGCTTACCTCCGTGGAGCTCAAGCTGCTCTACTGTAAGTAAGAACATTTCCCCACAAGGCTGTTACACATAAAATACACTGGCACAAGGGCCTCGCCTCGCGTCTAAGATGCCCAGGAAATGACAGTTTCCTTTCTTGCCATTTTCTTCATTAAGGCACCACAGAAAGGGAGAGTGAAGCTGAATATGCGAGAAAAACATTTGAAAATAGCGCCTTGAAAACCAGGTTCAATCCAGAACATGTAAGAAAACACTGTGGCCTCTCCCACGTCCGTTCTTTCTCCAGCACCATCTGAGCCCCAGGACTCAGCAGTCACAGAGCTACTAAGTGTGCACACAGCGGTGTTCTACTCTGATATCAAAGCCAGCACAGACCGTGGAAGGCGTCCAGAGCAACAGGACACCTTTCGCGCGAGGCGGGGCTCACGTAACTGAAAGTGGCAGAAGCGAGCGCAAGGATGTGCAAACTGGCCTTTTAAGTTTTCTGATTTCAGAGCATTTTATGACATTCACCTCTGGGAAACCCAATTAGCTCATAACTTAGGAAACACACATGGTCTTCATCACTACGAACAGCATGTTGGGGCACGAACAAGAAGAGCGACAGAGAACTGCTGGTTTTCTCCTTTTTGTTTGTGAAGACTCTGCTTTCACAACTGGTCAATGGCCACTAATTTTTAAACTTTTCAGACGAAAACTTACCTGCTAAAATCTCAGTGTTTCGTGCGGCTATTGTTTTAACTTTTATTATTCCTGATTCAGCAGCCTGTAATAAAAATAGAGTGGAAAACGTTAGGATCATCAGGGTTGTCTAAGAGAAAGAAATCACATCCGGGAGAGAAACTCTCAAGCTCACAAGTCACTACTTTTTTTATTTTCAAAACAAGACACAGCACAGCGGGCTATGAGCGCCAGTGGGTGACGCACCCGCCGTGCTCGAGTGGCGCAGGCGGGCGGCCCAGCCCCACGGGCCAAGTGTCCCCCACCCGACACACTTCTTCACACACACGGGCGGCACGGGCGCTGTGTGCGGGCGCGGGCCCTCCCGTCACACAGCCGTTCCCGACCAGCGCTTCCTACGTGACTAGTCTGCAGTGAGTTATGTTCCACATACAAGTGCTAAATTTTGAACTTCATGTGAAAAAAATGCTGACTATCCTTGAAATCCCTGTATCGATTACATGTCGAAGCAATACTTTGACCAAACCGTGTTATTAAAATTAAGCGCCTTTCCCTTTACCCTCTAACTGCAACTCGAAAGTACAGAGCAGCGCGCGCTGTGCGCATGAGTCACATCTGGTCACACTACCGTGACGGGCCGGGATGTGACCAGCAAGTGACTCACATCACAGAAACGCAGACGTTACTGCTGCGAAGCAGCTGCCGACTTCACACTGACACCACCCCCGAATCTCCGGAACTACCGCACAGATACTCTTGCTCGGTCCCCAAGTCCTACAGATTTGGCCGCTAGCGGCTCCCTTGTTTTATCGCCTGCTACTCGCTGAGGGGAAGGGCGGCAGGCTTAAGTAGAAACGAAGACGCCCTGTCCTAAGGGCCCTGGCCTGAGCACCAAGCGACACACTGCAGGAGCGCGACACAGGGCTGTGGTCAACGTGCTGGCCTCACGCACGTGGGCAGCCTTTGCAAGTTTGGAGAGTTCCGTTCAATGAGTTTCGGTGCATGACTGGGCCCATCTTCCACTCTTAGGAACTCAAAGTGCAAAGCCCTTCCCCACACAGCCCGGCGGTGTGCCCTTCCCCAGGAAGACACACCAGCGGCGATTCTGAGCGTGGAGGCTTCAGACAGTGGCGGCGACTTCTAGATTCCACCGGCGCTGAGTAGAGAGGCCGGCGCAGGTCGGAGCCAGCTCCGGCACCCGCGTCTGGAGGCTACTTCCACTGTCCGAAAACATCAGCACAGGGCCTCGCTGGGCGAGGGGGGTCTCAGCCCTGCAAAGCAGTCCTCAGCCACCGCAGCACGAGGCCAGTCCTGGCCAGGGAGGGACCCCAGGGCGCAGCAGACCCCGCCTGTCCCCTGGCCCCCTCAGCAGTGGGTCTCAGGGGACCCGCCTGATCTGCTCCCCACTGTCTCTGGGGAGTGCTCTCACCCCTTCACTTCTGGCCCATACCCTAAATCTTGTGTGCATAAATCAATCTTTAAAATTAATTATTAACTAATTAAAAAAGAAAACCATGCATTTTTCATAGCTATGAAAGCAGAACCTCAAAATTGGAACAAATTTACCAAAGGTCCAAATTAAGTATTCACAAGACACAGCATGAAAGAAATGAGGAGCCACGTCAGTCACAATTTTGAGAGAATAAGGCATCCTGAGAAACCAGGGAGGTATGAGACTGAAGGCGTGTGATTCAGGTGACAGGTAAAAGTGAAGGACCTAGAGTCTAGCTCCTACTTCGGGCCACCAGCAGACCTGGAAACAGGGAAACCTGTGGATGCAGAGGGCACGGAAGACAGAGTTGTTCGGCCTGGCGAGGCCACGTGAGGGCGCAGCACGCACATGCAGAGGTGACCCCCCTCTGGTCTCAAAGGCCAGCCCCCACAAGTACTTCAGGCACCTCATCTGTGAAAGGATGCCTTGCTCTGCGGCGAGATAAACAAGATGCAAGACTGACCGCTAGGACAGAAAGCCTGCAGGAGCAGAAGGCGAAACGCGTCAGCCTGCGAGCTGGACGGGGGCTGCAGCTGTTGTCCAGCAGCTAGCACAGGGCACAGGGCAGCTGCTACTTCACTCCATGAGCGACCAGCGAGGTTCCGTCCAGCTCGGGCTGCCTTCTTCAGGAATCCAATCTGAGTGGCCAGCTCAGGGCCTCCCTGGCGGCGCAGCAGGTCACAGCACTACGAAGCCAGCTGCAGCCGCTTCACCAGAGCGCACTCCCCAGCCAGGGGTGACCCCCGTCTCCCCGCTGCCCCCTCAGCAGTGGGTTTCAGTGGGCCCGCGTGTTCTGCTCGCGCTCTGCCTCTGGGGTCCTCTCACCCCGCACTTCTGGCCTGCGCCCCAGCCCTGTGTGCAGAAAAATGACCGCCAGCTCGGTCCGCTAGCACGACTGCCGCCAGGGCCGCTCAGTGTTCTCGGCCGTCTGTCCTCAAGGTGCCCAGAGGAGCCGGCCCCCAGGCTTCCTATGCCCCACTTCTTCCGCCTGCCTCTGTCTCCCCGCAGCCGCCAGTCTCCTGGCTCACCAGAACAGTGCCGAAGCCATACTGGCCTCCCCCCAAGGTCAGCCCTGGAGCCCGGCAGGGAGCCACTTCTCAGGCCGGTGGCCACACCTGTGCCTCTGAAAGGCCAGCTTCCCTGCCAGCCATCCAGGCGTTCATGAGCGTCTGTCAGCTGCTTTACCCCTGGTGGGTGTGGCTTGGCAACACCTACAGGGGTGTGACGGGACACCTCTGAGTCACAGCCACAGCTGTAAGCCAAGGCTGTGGGAGCTTTCAGGAGCAGCTCCACCTTCAGTCCAGCCGGGCTTCCTTGACATTATTCCTGGTCGATCTCATGTGCCTCCGGGTCAGATGAGCTGACACGCCCGGCTCGGCCAGCAGAAGCCCCAAGCCTCGCTCTCAAGGGCTGCACATCCTTCCCAGACACCTACTGGTCAGTTCCATTTGCATGTCACACCTACCTCCCAACCTTGCCCTATTCATAGCCACTCAGTTTGCCCAAGACAAAGCTCTCTCCTGCGCGCCTTCCCTTCGTGTCCACCCAGCTTCTCATGACAGACACGGGAGGTGTCACTGTCGCCCCGTTCTGGAAACTCCACCTGCCACACCTGTCCTTATTTCGCTTCCAGCCCTGTCTCCCACAAGACAGAACAGCCTCCCTCTACCTCTGCTGCCACCTCAATGTGGGCAGTTACAGCTCTTTAAACGTGTTCTCTTTGCCTAAACTCCAATCCCCTAACTCTCCCCAGCACTACCAAGGTCGTATCATTAGACATAAATGTAATCAAGTTACTCCTTTTCTCAGAAAGCTGTCTTGCCTCCAGCCACCCTCACCGTGAACCTCGCCTGCATGGGACATAAACACACGCTGTCTCCTCTGCAGGCCGCGCGCCCCTTTCTGTTAGCGGGCTTCCACTCCTGCGCTCACACTCAGCTCCAGAACTGTCAGTCCTCTGACTGCACTTCCAGGACGAGATGGATCACACTCATCTATCTGCAAGTAAAAAATGACCAAGTTTTTTTTTCATTAAACATGCAGACATTCAGCTTCGGAGGTTACTGCCTCGAAAAGCCACTGAATAGCAAACACAGAAGCGACTGTACAAGGCTTCACGGTTATCTTTAAGATGAAAAAGTTCTCATACGCATTCCAGAACAAGTCAGCTAGTACACCTTTATTAAAAAGTCATTGTGAAAGCATGACTCACGGTAGGAGGCCTAAGAAAAATAAGCAGGAAAAATGGAATTATTGGAGCTATTATTTAATCACCATCTAAATTATAAAATCAAAAAATGAAATAACCACCTTAAAAACAATTTCATATGCTGAGACCAGATCATAAATAAAGGCCAAAAGGCCGGGAACCTGTGCAGAAAAGCCAAAGATAGTATTGGTAAACCAAGCACTATTCTTCACTTCTGATTTCCCAGCAGATTTGAAATTTTTTAAAATACAGTTTACTATGAACTTGAAAAAACTCATTGCTAACTATCCCATCTAAAAAAGTAGACATCAATGAAAATTTAAAGATGGAACACAAACGCCCGACCTCAGTGCACGCTGTTTGAAAAGTACCGGGACACGCGACGTTCCACCCGAAGCACAGCACAGTCCGAGACGAACAAGTTCGCGAGCGGACTGACAAACGGTCCCGAGTGAGTATTTTTCAGGAGGAGTGGTGGCGAAGGGGCTGGAAAATTGTTGAGAGCAGACTGGACTGAAGAGGGAAAAGCTTGTCATTAGCTCTGCTTGGGGTCCCCCTGGCACTCCAGAAGATTGAGGCGGACATCTGCCGGGTTTCGCAGAGGGGGCCAAAGCGCGCACCGCAATGGAGAGTCAGAAGGCGGCCGAGGCAAACTGCCTGAAGTCAAGTTTCCCCCGGAAAGCATCCTTACCCGGCCGCTTGTTTCCCCCTGGCAAACAGTCACGGTCACGACTCAACTGCGACATCGGGGTGCTAAGAGCCCCAGACGCGGCCCTGGCTGAGACTCCCGCAGAGCGGGCCGGAGACAGCCACGCGGAGAAGCGCCTCACGCGACCGGGCGCGGCCCCACTGGTCACTGGTCGCGCAGCCGTTCCTGCAGGTCTCGGGTCAGACAGGGCGGCGGCGCGGAGCGCGGTCAGGAGCCCGTGTGCGTTCGGCCTCGCGCCGAAAACGGGGGCGAGCACAGCTCGCGTGGGTCCGAGCGCGGGGCGCCCGGTCACCCTGCGAAGCAGAAACGGGGCCGGCGTTCGCGGCCCGGCCCAGCTCCGGTCCCTAAAGCAGCTCGGCGTCGCGCTCGGCGGACCGGGACACGCGGAAGCGGGGTCGGCGC